TATGCACAACTTAAAAGACATCCCTCGTATTCAACGCATTTTTGATAATTATTATAAAGATTTTTTCGAGAGATCCCGTAGAGAATGAAGCGGGGACAGATAAAGTTTCCCCCTCTCCAACTTTTGACAGTTTCAAGGTGCAGCGAGAGTGGTTAGGTGTATGTTGCTTCAAGCTCCTTGATAAACTTAGCTGCTCCCTTTGAATATGAAATAATCGTTTCTTATCCAATGTATATCAATAAAATCAACCGTTTGAGGTGCAACTGCGGTTTCTATATCTACGATGACCTCATAGTCGTCTCCCTTGTCATTTAAAATCTGATGGACCTGATTTTTTTTGTTTTATGATTTAGTAATAATTTAACTCAATTTTCGGAACTGCGAAGACAAAGGCTCAATTGACATGCCTGTTTTCTAAAATGATAATGACATAAGACCTGTCACCCGCTAGTACCTCACCTACGTTAGGCGGTTAACCGTACCACCTGCATGGGTATCATGTAAAAAACCTATGAAACGCCAAATAAAACCTATAAGATGTCAACTTGGTAACTACAGTATATTCAGATAAGAGATAAACCGGACATAAACAAGACCACGTGATCATCGAACCTGTTATGTAACCAAATTAAAACGTTCAAAACGTAAAAAAATGTGCATGGTTGAACATTGTCAGAAAGTAGATTCTTGAATAAGTTTTGCTAAAATGGGTTCAAAAATGTCAATAATTAATTAAAAAATACAGTAGCTTTATAATTACTTATAACTTACCGAATTTGATGAACGACATCTTTTATTGGAAAGATGAGCTTGATGAGCTTTCATCATCGCTACTGCCTGAAGCACCAACGTCAATAATGAATGGCTCGACTTGTTCCTCTAAAATATTGTCCAGTTCCCACATTCTCTTTTCAACTTTGTCTTTCACGTGCTTAATACAGTTTTCCCATTTTTGCGCTGTTATTAATTCTAGTGCTTCTTTGAAAAGTCCTTTGAGGTCACAAAATTTAAAAGTTGTATTGTGCTTAGCTATATAATTTTTAACCTCTGCCCATATGAGCTCAATGGGATTGAGCTCGCAATGGTATGGAGGTAAACGGAGCACAGTTTTATTTTGACTTGCTGCCATTTCGTCAATGGCGTATTTTTGATATTCCGCCTTGTGATCCTTGACAATTCTTAATAATTGCACTTTCAGCATTGCTTCTTCAAAGTTGATATTTTTCGAGCGCAGCCAATTTTGAACATCAACTTTCCTTGAAGCCGTTGTTGGGACCTTCTCCATTCTTCGAGAATGATAAGGCGCATTATCCAACACAATTACTGCGTTTTCCTCTAAGTTCGGTAAAATTTTTGAAAACCACTGTTCAAACGATTCGCCATTCATTTCCTCGTGGTAATCTCCAGTTTTCTTAGACTCAAAGTACCACAGACCGTCAACAACAAATCCATCCTCACTGCCAATATGGAAGATAATGAGCCTTTCCCCTTTACCTGGAAATCGAAGTACTAACTGGTGTAGATTTATTTCAATAAGCGAACCTTTTTCAAATGTTTTCATCACATTCAGCGAAAAAACATTGAGACATGAGTATCAGATTTCTATAATTGGGATTATTTAGTCATATTGAAAGAAAGAATATTGAACGTCGTATGATTACTCAGCGCTTCACAATTTAATTTAAAGTTATAAACCTTTAAAAAATGAATGATCAGGAACCTGAAATACACGCAAATATTAAAGTATGAATTAAAATGATTAGAAATATTAGGACGGTACACAATATAAAACTTAGTAACTTTTTTTAAGTTTATAATATTCGACATATTTTAAGATTATATTGAAAAATTATTGAAATATCGAAAACACATAAAAACATGGCTTAAAAAAGTTCTAACAAATGAAAATGAGAATAAAACATCCACGCATTTTATCGAAAGTTATAAAAGTTTTGTTACTTGTAATATGTTTTATCTGCCCCCTGGAATTAATGTTTAGAACCTTGTTCCCAAGGTTTGAAAAACATCCGATTGTTGTCTATTACTCGTATTTACCTGCTGGATTTTTTAATCCGGTGGACAGTCCATCTAGAAAGGCCCTCCTGGATGAAGTTACAGAATCATCAACCCATACTTTACGTGTAGTGTGTCCTGCGTTTACCCACGTTTCATCAAGGTAATAAATCTTCCTGTTTTGATTTCTATATTTCCCAATTTTTGTTAAATAATCCCTCCTCCATAGCACAATTTCTTCTCTATCCAGTAGTAAACTATTACGACCCCGTTTTTTCCATTTGAAATTTAAATGCTTCAGTAACGCATGGAAAGTTGATCGTTTGAAATTTGGCAACGTTGTATCTCCATTTACCTCCTGCAGTACTTTATCTATAGTAGGTATTTCATTCCTAAAGAAGAATTCATGCACTTTCCTCCTAATCGCATGCTTATCAGCTTCATCCAATGATTTAACAATACTTTTGCGATGTTTACTGGTCATTGGCTCAGAAAAGGTGTGATTTTTTTTGTATTGTCTTAACACATTAGACGCTGATGCGTGACACACCCCAACTTTGTGAGAAACCTTCACAACAATTTCTTTGATGGTTGATGCCTCGTTCTCCTCGCGCTCGATCTTATATATATTCAAAATGACCTCTTTCATTTCTGCACTCAGGTGTCTTTCTTTAGAGCGTTTCTTAGGTGGACTACAGGAGTTTACAACTTCATCGGCAGTATCTGTACTACTGGGCATTTTGCGCAAGCAGTTGATAACAATAACAATCAATAACAAGGTATAACAATAACAACGACAAACTCAACAACTTAATAAGATAACAAACGAAAACGTCCAAAGAAATATCAAATTGCAATGATGCACACGACATACGTAACACGTCTGAACCTGAATGTGACTCTGCCTTGATACGACTGCTCTGCCGCTCGGCATAGGCATTTAATTGCGAATTGACCAATGAGGGCTCCTGTTTTACGTCGAGACGGCGGCGTTAGCGTGAAAATCACCCGAACCTTTTGTTTACATCCGGTCTATCTCTTATCTGAATATACTGTAGGTAGTTTTTAGGGCGCAGTCATTTCACGTTTGCTCACTAGGATCGTTGAGAACGTCCATTTATGGAGGAATAACTCAACTAAACTACACATATTATTGGTTCCATATGTTCTGTGAGGCTGAGTGGTCTGTGACTGGAGTTTTTATCTCTGAGAATAAAGTTGGTTGAATAGCAAGATGTGGATGATTATGTTTATGGGTCTGCATGTGCATAACATCAGTGCTATTTGCTGTGTGAGCAAATCAATTACTGAATATGCTGAATATGACTGGTTATTTATATGTTATGCTTTCTGAAGAGAGGTTATGTTCAAAGTTATAAATTACGAAAAACTGAGGAGAATTATGGGAAATCATCACCGCGCCCGCGTTGTGCGTAATTACTGTTAGCATGTATATGGCTTGTACTTTGACAGTGTACAGTGAATATAATTATTTCTTATATCTCTCATTTTCGAAATTCAGCAAATTTGTATATGTAATTCCCAGAATGGATGAGAAAAAGTGGCTGCGCAACTAATTTATAGCTTTGAATCTCGATTAAGTGAATTTGAGACAAGGATCAAAATGGAATTATCATCAACACATACAACTTACAGCTTAGACCTCCAGTAATGCCATATCTGCAGCAGATTTTTCATAACATCAGAGCCAAACACGGATAACTAAAGCCTCATGACCTTTAGGCAACACGTACAGCTAAGTGCTATGTTAACGTCTGGTAGAAAACCTACATAATGTCAAAAAAGTACAGTATATCAAACAAATCGATATAACGTCACTTTTCAAGATACATGATACCCGTGCTGATCTTTCGACATTTGTATGACGTCACAACCGTCTTTTCCAGTTCTCGTTCTTCGCGAGAATTTAAGTATCAGTCCCTGGTACTGCACTGTGCTACATCATGGACTCGCGAAGAAATGCTTTATGAGTAGAATTATGGACATTTTGACAGAAACATCATGAATCGAGGACGTTATGTATGGAGCTCAAAATACAAAATTCAAATCAACTCCCTTCTGCCTGTCATCCTTTCTGTGAGCCTGGATAATTTGAGATGCGTACTTCGAGTGTGCTTATAAAAAAATCTAATATGTTAGAAAATCGTATGCTATGTAGGAAAATGGGACCTTTTGATGCTTCGTCCTTGGGTCATAGTATATAAGCCTTTATTGCCCAACAGCTTATCGCCAATATATATAACAATAAAAGGTAGCCTACAGGTACTTCCATGCGAACAAAGCATATATGTATATATACACAAAATGTGAAGTTCTAACTTAGAAAACGTGACTTATTTTTTATCTCATCAAAGTTGCATCAAAAAATGTCACATTCGCTAGCAATTTTGTATGCATTGTTACCCATCATAATAACTGGTGCTGTTGATAATATGTTAGTCTGTGCTATTTGACATAAAAAAGAAACACTAGCTCGTGAGGGTAGTCGTCGCACCAGAAATTGTAACTGCCAGAGGATTTTGGGGACAGTCTTGACCATGCAACAATTTATATAAAATCAGTACAGAAAATTGGTTCCGTCGCTGCTCTAAATATATTGAAAATCAAACTTCTGTAAGAGGTCTTTATAATCGGAACCTCTTGCAGGATATACGTATTCTACCATTTTTGAAGCTCAGACACATTTATAAATGGGGCTAAGTACATATAAGAGATCCATATTAACCCAGATACCCCTGAAACTCTTAATGCTTGTTTTTTGTTATATACTTTTGTAAACCTATTAATTGGGTTAATATAAACATATTTTCCTAGTAAAATTTTTTAGTTCCGCTTTTAGTTTTTTCTGTAAAAGCCGTCGGTTTAAACGTACGGTAGCAATATAAGGTACTAAAACTCAACATTCTTATGAACTTATAAAACTTTATTTAGAAACGAAAAAAATTTTTTAAACCAATAATAATAGATTAGTTTTTAGTATGGTAACTTAAAAAACACATTTTTGGATGAAGTGCAACATCACACTTCTGGCATCTGAATGCTGCTTGTTTGTGGCAAAATGCGCAGCGGGTTTGCTTTTCCTGATAATTCACAAGATGATCCATCCGATCATATCTGGACTCATAATGCAGGTATTTGCCTGGTTTAGATGGCCCCCGTTTTGTTTCTTTCTTATAAGTTTCTAATAATTCCGCAGCAATACACCTCCTAAACTGCAAATGGTCCATTTTTCCGCCAGAATGTTTATGAAGTTGCCATGCGTTTTGTTCTGCCATATCCAGAGCATGTGAAAACAAGCAAAAATACCACTTCTTTCCCCTGATTCCTACGCGGTAAAGGCTTATATTTTGGTCAGCCCTATCAACACCGCCCATGTTTTCATTGTATTGTTTGATCAAACATGGCTGCTCAACATGTATCATTTTCTTTTCTTTCTGAGAGAAGCGTTTGACTTGTTGTGTCGGAAAAGGAGATGTTACATTTGAGGCGATTGTAACTACACTATTGTCATTCCATTTACATACAATATTATTTTGGTTCTCCTCCAAAAGATAATCAAAACTACCACGGGATTTTTTCTTGAACATACTGGATTTTTCAAGAGGGCAATCTGATAGTCTGTTTTCTCGCAGAGTTCCTGTGCATTTGAGCCCCCTGGAGGTCAGCTCAGCCAACAGAGGTAATGACGTAAAAAAATTGTCACAAAAGATATGGAAAGGAGCTTTTTCACATTGTGACTGAATAATATCAGCAAACTGAAGTACAACACTAGCCCCTAAGCCAAGAGGACGATATTTTTCAGAAATAATAGTTGTGGACCCTTGATACGGCTCAAACCATTCAATGTACCCCTTTTTAGTTGTTCCCACCCATACCTTATAACCCCAACGAATGGGCTTTCCTTGGATGAACTGTTTTGATCCATGACCGCCGTAATAGGGTACCATCGACTCGTCCACGCTATGGCACTCTTCAAGGGGTGCAAATGACTGAAATTTCTCATTCAGAGTAGAAAACAAGGGCCTCAGTTTCGAAAACTTATCGGTATTTTCAAGATTGTTGTTATCATTCAGGTGCAAATTCTGCATTATAAAGCTAAAGCGATCTCGAGAAAGCGCCGAATAGACTAACTCATTTCCTGCGTCACTGTTATTTTCCCAATACATTGACCGTCGAGGAAATGAGTTGTATCCAGAGAGCAGTAATACACCAATGAAACATTTTATTTCACTGGAATGTATATCACCTCGGCGATTATGCTGAATAGCATATATATTGGAATATTTCACAACCAAGTCAATAATTTCGTCATCTATAAACTGAAAAAATAGTTCTAAAGGAGATAAAGAATTTTTTGGACCAGTTGCGTTTACCCATTCTGGAAAATCTTGGTTGATGTCACCTTTTTTCCAAGAGTAATTTGGTTTTGATAATTTTGGTCGTTTTTTCGTAAGAAAGGTAGACAAAGGTAGGTCATCGTCGCTATCAAAATCACTCTCAACTGTAGTTTGGTTTGATCCCTTGTTTTCAAATACAACCTCAACTTCAGTCATCAGCTGACTTCCAGGGAGGTTGTTTATATCCACTTCATTTTCGTCGCCGGAATCCTCATCAGTGTTATATTCATTTGCGTTAACTGGCGGTAGAACGGCAATAGTATCAGGAATCAACTCATCGTCATCAATGTTTTCAATTTCTGCCATGAGTTCATGAAGTTTCAAGGGCCGCTTCCAATAGTTCCAATAACTGCAAATATAAGAAAAAAAAATCGAAGAATACCGGATTTTCCTACTGTCCGTTAAAACGAACATCGGTATTTGAGGTTATATTTTTGCCGGTGAGATGCAAATTTTTGACTTATTTGTTTACAATTATAAAGATTGATGTTTTCTAAAATTACTTATTCACAAGATGGAAAAATAATATGAATAGTTTATCAGTATACTCACCTATAATTATCCATTGTTCACAACAAACTAAGCACCTGTTATTCCAAACACTTTCTCGCATGCAGAACTCTCCCTTTAAGAGGTTAGAACAATAAATCTCGCTTAAACACGTGTTTCTAACAGCGGATAACCCAACGCCATCTAACGCGGAGTGACAGAGTTTCAAATTTGAAGCGAAATATTAGGTGATTGTTATAACGGACGGTAGGGGTATCTGGGTTAAAGTTTTGACCTTATCATGCTGAAAAGTAAAGATCTTAATGTAAAGACAAAGTTTCTATAGTTTCTGATTATGAAGCCATACGTTCCAGATGTACTAGAACTTATTTGGTCAACATGATACTTGAAGGTGAGTTTCCGGTCAAAGTAGGCACCTAAATCAGCTCTCACAGTCTCACAACGCTCCAATACGCAATCCTCCATTGTGCAGTTGTACCATACATATAGGATTAGTCTATCTAGAAAAACCGAGTACCTTACATTTAAAAGTATTTAGAAAAAGGTTGTTATTTTCACACCATCTTAGTACAATATTAATTTGTTCTTGTAACACAATCCTCTGTAGAGGAAATAGTAGAGAAAAACTTCAAATCGCCAGCAAACATTATCTTCAAACATTCCAAAGAGACACATAAATCATCGACGAGGAGAATGAGCAGTAGGGGTCCTAGGTTAGAGCCTTGAAGAACACCGTTGGTAGAAATCTAAACATGCAAATAGTATCCATTATAAAAAACATAGTGTTTCCTTTTAGAAAGTCAAAATCGGAATTTAGGTGCTACTGAAACCTAAGTATCGTAGCTTACTGATAAATATATTTTGGTTAACCTTATCAAAGGCTTTTGAAATATCCATGTATACCACGTCAATCAGGTCCTCTGTTATCCAATCTTTGGCATAAGTATTGACTGAAATCCATCCAAGTTGAGTGCTGGCTGATAAAACCGTGTTGATGGATCGAAATATGGTCTTTCACGGACAGATATATTCTCTTATAAAATATGATCTCCAAGAGTTTCCCAAAATTGTTTAAGATAGGCACTGATCTATAATCACCAACTAAGTTATAATTGTTTGTTTTTGGAATTGGGAATCCCTTTGAAGCTTACAGTTATCTGGAAAAATAGATGTTGGTAAAATTAAATTACGTTAAAGGAAATACCAATACAATCCTTGATAAAGAATGATGGAATTTGGTCAGGTCCTGCAGTTAGCTTGTCTTTTAGTTTTCGATTGGAAGCAAAAATTTCGTCTCCCGTAATTCGTTCACAACTAATATCAATTAAGGCATTATAATCAAAATTTAATCTATGATTTATCTCGGTATTATCCGGTTACGAGCAAACACTACAAAAAAAAATCGGCAATGGCATCAACTATACCTTCGGGATCGTTAATGGACTCATCATTGTAGATCATATTGTTAGGTATTCCAGTTGTGTTGTTTTTTCTATGGATAAAGGACCAGAAATTCTTAGGTTCATCCTTCAAATGATCTTGCATAATAGACAAGTTCAGATATAAAAGGTTATCCGTGTCTGTATAAGCTAAACAAACTTCGTCACATCAGCATAAATTTTATATAGACGTCACTCATTAATGTGTTTGACTGACATGCCATTAAACAGTTTGGAAACTGTTGGCAACCGACACATGCATTCATTGACAGCAGGCAGGTGTTGCGCACTGGACGCGCGCTTATCCCTGTAATTTCACGGCTGAGAAATTCATATAACTGCATTGTACGACCGGCTGCTTTAATCCGCGGATTACGTTCATTCAATCCTAATAACTGGGGAAACCTCAAACTGCTATTAGTTTCCCGGGAATTTGGAAACATCTGAACTGCGAAAAATGTAGCTGATTGCTGGTTGGGTGAACATGTATTTCAGACCCTGCTTTTTGTTGCCTGAATATAAAACATGCAGAAGTACTGGATACATTTGGAGTTTGATTTAAGCCCTGATAATCAGTTGAAGTATCGAAAACGTACGTTTTGCGGTTGTCGCATACAGGGTGTTCGGAAAAGGAAAGTATATCATTCAACTTCAAATGGCATGCAATATGGTTTGCAATATTAAGTTGAAATTTTTGAAGGAATCTTTGGCACATAATTTGGACATAGTAGACAGATTGAAAAAAGGACACATCTGCATTAGACGAGCTTGATAGAGCGATAGCACCCACGAGTATACCACAGTTCTCTCAATCTCTCAGATGAATATAGGGTACACCAAACGAGTACCACTACTTCCTATAGAAGGGATATTTAGGTATCCAAAGTACGCTACAAAAATTCGGCTTTTCTGAAATAGTTTCAATCGATACTGTATGACTCAAAGAAACTTAATCATCATAGCAATGAGTTACGGCTGCGCTTGATGGTGTTCATGAAAGGTAATTAACCGATTCACCAAAGGCAACAACCAAACGCCTTGGAAAACATGATCCTTTAGCCGAAATCGACAAAATGGGAGTTTGCCAGAAAACCGCCTTGTTTCACACCGGTTTCGTGAAACGCATAGTACACTCGATTTACCATTCAAACGGTATTATAACTCAACTCAAAAAATCACAATCAGTGACAGAAAAACCTAGATTTTTTTGTGTTCGGTCGCAACGTGAACCACTAAGCAAAATGCTGAAGCAAGATAGTTTTTTTTTAAAAATGGCTTATTTAATCAAAGTAAACCGAGAATATTCGTTAATGTACATAATATGTTCAAAAAGTCTTATGTACCGGCTGAAGAAAACGTGTTTCTATTACAATTATAATATTATTGTAGGACGCCTACATGACGTCCTTGATTTTGATAGTATTTTTTCTCGTTCAGAAAGCCTGGCGTATTTATAGATTTCTACTGGTCCGTGTCAGCGTCGGCGCTCTCTTATACTGAGGAAATGTTCTTTCTTTGAATTGTAGAAAATATCTGGCTGATATAACAGATGATATAAATCAAAAGCATGATCAATCTGATGCAAACAGATATTTGTAACATAACCTCAAAATAGAGCGCTGACACGGAGCAGTAGAAAAATATGAAAATCAAGGAGATCATAAAGTCCCTCAATTGTAGAAACGACTGACGATACGGCTCTAAAGTTTAACAACAATTTATTTTAACTTGACTAAAAAAGAGAGAGAGACTACATTTCGTGGCTTTCTCTTACTCGAATTCGTTGCTCTTATACGAATTGGAAAGTTTGAAAATATCAATTAGGTTGCCTTATGAAGTTTGCGAGAAATGTCATTGCTAAGGTGTCAAAAAATTGTACACAATGAAAATTTTATCACTTACTGGGAAGCTGAAAGCCTTGGGCTTATTGACTTTTATATTTTGGATATAGCTACTGGATAGATTGCTTCCTTCAAAAAATTAATAAGTGAACTGCAAAGTAGTCTGCATAATGACAACAATTAGCATAATGGTCGTAATAATTATTCGGCCCAATTGACATCATAAACATGTCTGTGCAGTGTGTGTAATTGGCAAACAATCTAATTATGGCCATTAAGACGAAGTTACGGCGGTTGCATATACATTAGGCATAATGTGCGCATAGTGAATATTGTTTATTCCATTGAACTAACAAATACATAGTTATAGTTAATGGAAACAAAGAATATCATCAGCTAGACGATTTTTAATTATTTAGAAAATGAGTCGAAGAAACTAGAGAAGAGTTCTATCATTTTAGTAAATTAGCTGCCAGTATTCTGAAAACATGATAGGCACATATTTTCATGGAGTCAGAAGAAAACGCGAGCAAGATTGCTGATAAGGTTTGATAAGATAGATTGTGAAACCTTAAGCACTGTCAAGATAATCAGGCTGATTAATATTTTATGCAACGAGATAGTTGAAAGCTGCCATTTTTAAGCGTATATGTTCAAAAAATCTTTCCAGACGGAATGCATATTTTTGCATGCAATATTTTTGGTCATCCTTAAAAATTACTTCTAGTTGTTTCCTCAAAAACGATGTCGTGCGGTGTAAATCACTGTAACCTACCAATTCTGAGTTAGTCGAATTCGGTGTGTTTATTTATACCTATTAACAGGAAAATTAGGCGTTGATCAAATTGATCAGATTCGTTATTTGTACATCAAAGAGTAAAGAGTAAAAAAATTATACTTATCAAGTACTAACTGTACACTATAGGTATAAACAAATCTATCCACTGAGACTAACCAAACTTTCGACTGTCTCATTGTTCTTATGTTCGCATATTCAAGGTACAAATGTACCCACCAATTCCGATTTAAACGAATTAGGTATGTTCATTTAAACCCATCATTTAATAACTGCACAATTCATGTACAGATTAACCTATCAACTGCAACTAACCTGACTTTGGAGTTTTCGATTCTCATTGTTTTACTTCGCAAGTTTGGAAGTGCAAATAATTAAAACTGTAATAGAATGGCTTTGGTTTTCAAAACTGTGCACCTGGTGGATGTAGGTGAGATAAAACCTGTTCCATTTCAAGTGGGAAGAGGATGAAGAAGTGTACGTTTCGAGAACAAAAATAGAATGTGGGAAGAAGACAGCGTTGTGTCCACAGTGAACCAGACAAACATGATTGAGCCAAATAGGTGTTGTGAAAATGTAAAGCCATTTTTTCTTCCCTCACGACTAGCCCTCTTTAAGCTGACGAATTATATAATATAGCTATATACAATGTATTTCGTCACGATATACCGATATTTGAGGGGGATATTTTTCAGCTATTTTTATCGACAAATCCACCCCTACAATGTCCTACCTCACCGTCCTTGAAATGGATCCATACCGTTGCGACTGAAATTAGGTCTGACACGGATATGGTCTGCCGCTCAGCACGACACATTTTTTCAAGAACAACAATGTGCATAACCAATAATGGAGGACATTTTGAACAGCTTCTGTAACATTAAACATGTCCAAGCTCTCTATAAGAAACATTGATTTGTCATTTTTATGTATAGAGAGTTTGAAAACAATTTGCATTTTATTACACCCTTTTTGACCCATGTTAGATAGCATTTATTGCTTAACGTAGCATTCTTAAGATAACAAAAGCTGTAGAATTAGCACAAAAAAAATACAACTTCACAGACTAGTTTTTGAATGGTGTACCGAAATGCACAAAATAATTTTTTCTGTTTTTGTCTGTTTTTAAGTATGTTTGACGGTTAGTATCAAAACAAGTTTTCCAATAATTACCATTCTGTGCAACTTACGTACTCAGTTATTACAATTTTCATACATGCAATACCGTACTCGTAAGGTAAAAATAAAAATGGCTGCCATTTCAAGGGGGATGAGGTAGGGCATTGCAGGGAGGTGGATTTGTCGATAAAAATAGCTGGAAAAATATCTCCCTCAAATATCGGTATATCGTGAGCAAACACATTGTATATATACAGGGTGACTTCGAAGTTGAGTCATTTATTTTAACAGTGAGTAGATCTGATCAAAAGAAATGTTTTTTTCCTTTACCATTTTTCTGGTAAAATTAAAGTAACAAAGTTATAGCCCTTTGGAAGTTTGAGTACCGCCCTGTCTCAATAATATCATGTGTTCGTGTTTGGCAACAACGGTTCATCGCATCGGAAACAAAAAAGCGAAAGAATTTGGAACGATGTTTTTACGATTACAATTCAGTTCAGTTATACATACAGTAAGTTTCAGTCGCGTGTGAATAGTGTCTGTTGCGTCGCTCAAACGAAATAAAAAGTGGCACATGTTTATTCGGATCGGTTTCCCAATCGAGTGCAACCAACCCCTCGTGCCTTTGTTAATGTAGTACAACGGGCTCGTGAATCAGGTGACTTCAGACCTCACAGGGGACCTCACGATCAAATACAGGTCCGCACTGAAATACTTGTCGGGAGGATACTTTATAAAACAAGGTAAAAAAATTTTTTTATTTTTTTTTTATTTTTACACACATATTTTGGTTTATCTTCCTTCTACAATCATTATCTGAAAATTAATGACTCAACTTCAAAGTCACCCTGTATATATATATATATACGTATATATATATATATATATATATAACAAAAATAGCAAAATAATGGGCAAAATCCGCAAAAAGTGGATTCAAGCAGAAAATAGGATAGGTAACCCGAGCGATACGTATTTCTGCTGGTTGGCTTCATCAGGCCCGAAATGAATGCACATATGCAACTACAAAAGTAGATACACATGCCCACACATCCGGATACGGGTGTAACCTGAGGAAACGAAGATGGAGAAGAAAAAAAGACATACGAAGTCTACAACAAGAGCCAACCTACACCTTGTAGTATAAAATGGCTACAAGACCTAGAATTTTCAAGGCGACAAATAACCACAACCACGCGGCCGGTTATAGCCACTTGCTGTGGTACTTCAAGCCCAAATGATCTACAAAGAGAAAACTATCATGCGGAGAAAGGTATATAACAAAAATAGGAAAATAATGGGCAAAATCCGCAAAAAGTGGATTCAAGCAGAAAATAGAATCATTATATATATATATATATATATATATATAGGTGAAAAATTAAAGCTTCCGCCTTTTGTTGGGTACTTCGACAAAAATTTTTAGGCAAAGAGGACTCTTTATACTTTTTTATTC